ATTTATATGTGGAACGCCTGATCGCACAGCAAATACATAGCTTTTTGAAAATTAAATTGATAGAAATTTTATAGAAATTATAATAAGTTATAATAATTATAATAAAAGTTATAGTAATAATAATAATAACTTTTGTTCACATTTCTATAGGTTTGGTACCAATGTTTATCCGTTAGACTTAGACTGCAACACGGCGCTTCGATATTTGGTTTCTAAAACAGGTACGCCGCGCGATTGATTTGAAAAAAGTTCAAGATTTAAATATATATATATATATATATATATATATATATATATATATACGAGGTCTGTTCAAAAAGTACCCGGAATTTTCGTTTTTTCAAAAAAATATTTATTTATTCGTCTACATTAATGTGGTCCCCTTCAAAGTAGTCCCCCCCCAGATATAATACACTTATGCCAGCGTTTTTTCCAATTTTCGAAGCACCCTTGATATTCACTTTTTGATATGTCCTTGAGTAGAGCTGTGAACCGGATCCGGGTCCAGCGCGGTTCCGGTTCCGGAACCGGTTCTGGAACCGGTTCCCAAATTTTGGGAACCGTCGACGGTTCCATTTTTTTTTTAACTTCCCGTAGGGTAAGTTATTGTAATGGGGCGAAAATCTAAATTGAAAATTTTTACATTTCTCGACGTTTTGAAGGTTTCTGAACATTTTGGCATACCTCAGAAAAAAAGGATGTGTGTGTGTGTGTATGTATGTATGGATACAATTTTTCATCCACGTTTTTGAGCGCACGGACCAACCGATTTGAATGGTTCAAAAAACATTCGATTCCTATTGTTAGGAAGATGTGCTTATTAGTTTTTGGAAAAGGCAGGTCCAGCCGATTAGGAGATACCGAGCAAAGAGTGCAGAAAATAGAAATCGAGTTTTTGAGAGATCGTCCGATTTGAATGATCCCAAAAGCATTCAATTCGTAATGACGGGGAGAAGGGTAGGTTAGTTTTTGGCAAAGGCAGGTCCAGCGGTTTCGGAGATACAGAGCTAAATGTGCAAAAAATGGCAGTTTTTAAGAGAACTAAGCGTCCGATTTGAATGATTCCAAAAACTTTCTAACAAAATAATTGACTTTGGAAAAATAAGTTTTTGCTCCAAAAATTTTTTTTTAAATTTTTTTTCCAAAAAAATTTTTTTTGTATATTGAAAATAATTCAGCTTTTTATTTTATTTCTGTTCTAATATACTTTAAACAAATAATTTCAACTTCCCAATTTAGTTTATATAATTTATATAAATATAAATAGACAATGTTACAATATTTATAATAATCTATTTTAAAACATTTAATATTCCTCGATCATTTCGTTACAGTACGGGAAGTTCCAGCAATTTGCCTTAAGGTACGATGCCATACACGCCACTAGTTTTAATTTTTTTTGTCACCTACAACGTTTTATTTTTATATCCTATATTATTATTTCTAATTCTGATTAATTTTAACTCAACATTTCAAATATTCAAACATGAGAACTCAAGATATTATTTATTTCCATTTCAAAGCCTAATTTCGATTCAAAATTAATTAACTTATTCGAATTAAGAAGTTAAACCTATTATAACTTTCGCGAAGGAGTACTTTGTTTTAGCCAGAAAATCTGACTGGATAATATTATGCTAATAAGTCGTTCTGTATTGTTAGTCTACATTTGCCTGTTTTTCAAAGTTAAAAAAAAATCTTTTTTTAAAAAAATGATTTTAGGTACGGGAAGTTCCAGCAATTTGACTTAAGGCACGATGCCAAGCACTACTAGTTTACCTTTCACTTTCTCACAAACTGAGCTGTTGTTCATTCAAAACCTTTTCTTAAAAAAATTTAAATCGATTTTGAATATTACTATTCGAAAAATTTGGGGATATACTGATTAGTACATCGAACGGGTATTTTCTTCGTAATCAACCGTTAAAATATTTTTATTTACGATTTTAATTAAATCTACAACGATTTTTTACCAGTTTAATAATGAATTATAAATTAAGTACATTTCAGTTCAATATTCAACTTTAAGAATTTATAAATTTATTAATTTTGTTTAATAAATCGTTACCGAATATGTATACTTAACTTATGTACAATTTACCCAACAGTTTGTATTTGGAGAGAAAGAGAGATCGGAACTTCTGCGAATGCTTGAAAGGGACAGAATAAGGGATGAACTGCCGCTGTTCATCCCTTTAAAGCATTCGCAACACAGATAAACAGACCACATGCGAAGAATTTTTTTGTTTATAGATAGGCAAAGGAGACGTGTTGTGACACAATATAAAAAATTAAACATTGTTATGTGTATTAGCCTAAATCTTTTCATTGCGAGCCATCAGTCTTTAGCCCATAAATATTGATTTTAATGACTTCTCCAAATCATACTTTGACACTTGTTTTCAGAAAGACCTCCAACTATTTTCAATAGACAACACCCGACTACAAGAGCCGCATTTCGTTAATCGGTCTAAATTATTATTTCTGAAACTAAATATTTATCCATTTCAACAACATTTCAAACGATATAGAAGTTAATACAAACACTTCTATTCTACCTTTAAAATTGTCATTTTTTTTTTAAAAATAAAATCAGTTTATGTAACATATATTAGTTTATGTTTCAAGTATATATTATTCTATATATTTGTTATTTATATATGAAACACTATTTTAAAATATGCAATATTTCAAAATTAATTAGCAAACTCGAAGGAATTTTTGAAATTTGTTGTTTTACGATTTATGAGTCGATGTACAATCGCCAAGCTCTAAAAGTACGCTTCTGCTTTGAAATCTTTAGATATATATGTATTAGTACATTTACTAATGTGATGATCATAAGGTCCACTTGCTCTCAGACTGCAAGAGTCGAATTACATAATGGGAAGAGCTTAGGTATAAAAATAAGGTTAGCAAAGTATGAAATTTTTATATTTTTATGAAGTTAACAATTTAGAAATTAAATTACTTTTTATGAAGTAAACTATTTATTTCAATTAAACTAAGGCGTTTTGTTGTAATACTTTTAATAATATGTTATTTTTTTTAATACTATATGCAGCCAGTTTTGTAAATTCTCCTGATCAAAAGAAACCGCCTCTTGCTATGGATATCGAAAACTATAATTGAGAAACTAAAAACTAAAGAAACTAAAAATATGCATCAAATTTATTGGTTTATAAAAAAGTTTATAATTATTTATTTAAAAGTTTATGAAAATTACATATAACCTAATAATGAAAGCAGACTAAATATTATTCGAATGAACAATTACCAATTTGAGAATTGCATTCATGGCAAACAAATATATAACTAAATAGTAATGCACAAAAAGGTATTAATTATAATTATATTAAAAAATTCAAAGGGTTACAAAAAAAATTTCAAGGACAAAAAGCGAAACACGTAGCTTGAAACGGATGCTTGTGACTGAATAGAAAAACTAGTGGGGTGTATGGCATCGTGCCTTAAGGCAAATTGCTGGAACTTCCCGTACCGTAACGAAATGTTCGAGGAATACTGAATGTTTTCAAATAAATTATTATTAATATTGTAACATTGTCTAATATTTATAAGAATTATATAAAATGAATCGCAAAGTTGAAATTATTTGTTTGAAGAACTGTAGTCAGAATTAAAAGTAAAATCTGAATTATTTTCAATATACAAAAAAAAAATGTTGAAAAAAAAAATTGAAACAAAATGTTTTTTTTCCAAAATCAATTATTTTGTTAAGACAAGCAGAATTTTCTTTGAATCATTTAAATCGGACGCTTAGTTCTCTCAAAAACTCCCATTTTTTACACATTTAGCTCCGTATCTTCGAAATGGCTGGGCCTGCCTTTGCCAAAAACTAATAAACACTTCTCCCAATCATTACTTGAATGTTTTTTAGATCATTCAAATCGGATACTCCGTTCTCTCAAAAACTCGATTTCTATTTTCCTATCTCCGTAACGGCTGGACCTGTCTTTGCCAAAAATAATCAGCTCTTTTCCCTATCAATAGGAATCGAATGTTTTTTGAACCATCCAAATCGGTTGATCCGTGCGCCCGAAAACTTGACTGGAAATTTGTATCCATACATACATACACACACACACATCCATTTTTTCTGAGGTATGCCAAATTGTTCAGAAACCTTCAAAACGTCGAGAAATGTAAAAAAATTCAATTTCGATTTTCGGCCCATTACAATAACTTACCCTACAGAAAGTTAATAAGAAAAAAGTAGCCGGACTTTTTTCCGGAGCGGTCTGGAATTTTCTGGGATCGATCCGGACTTTTCCGGGTTGGAACCGTTCACGGTTCTTCCGGAACCGGGTCCTTTTTGGACTTTGGAACCGGTTCTTGAAAATGACGGTTCTTGACAGCTCTATCCTTGAGCACTCTCAGCGATTTTCTTCAATCGAGGAAAACCGCCGTCCTTTCATGGGTCTCTTCAACTTTGGGAATAGGAAAAAGTCACACGGAGCCATATCTGGTGAATTTTTGCACTTTGCAACACTTTATTTCATTTTTTACGCAAAATTTAATACAAATTCTTTGACTTTTCAATTCTTCCATTGTAAAAATCTCCGAGCTCAGAAAAACACGTCGAACCTTAGCGACTACCACAGACAAAGTAAACAGTGAATATAGCTGAAAATTTCATCATACTTTAGGGGCATGTATACCAACACAATAAAAAAAAATTTTGACAATCAGACACTCCAGACCCGCGAAATTTAATTATTAGTAATTCCGGGTACTTTTTGAACACACCTCGTATATATATATATATATATATATATATATATATATATAAGTAATCTAATTTTTTGAAATTTTCAAAAAGAAAGTCTTTTTTTAAGTTCAATTTTCGGCACTAAAACTCCCAGTAATTTGCTTTAAAGAACGATATTTAACCCTTTCCACTCGCAAAGTGCGGAATTGATATGTATTTTAGACATCCGAGTGGAAAGAGTTAAATTCTACCACGTTCTGGTTTTACCGACCTGGTGCACTGTAGACCACGCTGGTTGCTATTGCCGTCTCAGCACCCGATCGCGCTACGCAAGTGTATGCGCTTCGTTCGGCCGGTAACACGTTGTCGACCACCAGCCGGGAGCGCACCCTGACGAGACCAGTAGATGGCGCTTCGTTTATGGCGTTACTTTCTTCGTAGTCGTCTAACTGAAATTTGAAAAAATCATATTAATAAGATGTCGTTACTCTATTTCAATCATATACTTATCAACTTTTAAATAGGTTTCCATATGAATTACAATTTTTATTTGTAATAAGGGGCAAGTGTTCAAGTTCAAGTGTTACGTAAACACTATAGGGGGGCGGGGGGTTGTTGATTTGCTTATTTTGGGTTGACATGGGGGGCAGGGGTGTCTGGATGATGATTACGTCATAGGTAGTATTTTTATTTTTTTACATTAATTGCAAAATGTTTACGTAAGCATGGGGGAAGGGGGTAAGAGCTTTGCTTACTTTTGCTGACAAGGGGGATGGGGGGGTGGGTAAATAATTGTAATAAATCTGCTTACGTAATACTTGAACGATCCCTAACAATGAAAAAATATATCTTGGCATTAAAAAAGTGCAATATATCTTGCCTAATACCGTACATTGCTGAATCTAACTAGACAGGCAACTTAACATTACTGAGCACAAAAAAACAAAAATAAAAAAAATAAATAGTGCGCATAAGGTTCACACCCGATTAAAGTAAAACTTATTTGCTACTGTACAAAATAGCAAATTTAGGTTAAGTAAAAATAAATACATCATATAACAATTTTGAATAATGTCTATTAGTAATATGGTAAGACTCGTGATGCACACATTTATTAGTGTCAACCATTATACACATTTTTCATTAAGTCAAGATTTGTACTACGATGTATCTTTAAAATGTTTATTTATCTATGCCGATTTTTTTGTTGATATCGGTACGCATACAACAACAGATCTCTATTCACATACACGACGACTAATCACAATCGACCCGTGTCGAAATGTTCTCATCGAGAGCGAATGACGAACAGTTCGGGCGTAACGGACTTCCGTTGTATTTGTACGGATTTACAACCTAGTCGCGCCTGAAGAAGTTTTACTTCAAAAAACAATGAACATCTTTATTATTCTTTACTATTTTTAATTGGATAAATTTATACAATAAAAAAATTCCATGTCACAATGACTAGTTCTTTGCTTCCATATGAATGCCCTTGTTGGTACGCAAGTAGCCATCAAAATATTATAAAACTACAGATTTTTCAATAATCCACAAAAATGGTAAATATCTTAAAAAAAACGAAGACTACATCATGACATTACCTAATTACTTTTTGTAAAAAGGCACGGATAAAAGCGCTGTCAATATAAAAATGATCAATAAAAAAACGGAGGGTATATTTTGTTCAATAGCTAAAATAAAGTACTAAAATTCATAATTTAAGCAATTCTAATTAGTAGAACTACTATGTTTACTTATATATTATTTTATATTTAACTAATCAAAATTACTTTTCTATGCCTTGTTTTGGTCTTCCCGGATCCTACCAAGTCTTAATATATAAACATTATATATGGATTCCTTACATTTAAATTTTTCCATTATTACCAATATCATGTATTGATAATAAATTCCAATGCTTTATAGTTTATTAAAGAATTCAATGATTATATTACTGTCAATTAGATAAGTATACAATTACTAACGTAATGTTTTGTATTTATTTAAACTTTTATAAATAAAGTGATAATTAAAAAAAAATAAAATGTTTTTAATATCACTATTAATATACGCAGATAGTGTATGTCGAATATAAAATTTTCAAAACACATGTTTTACCATATATAAAAGATAATTTATTTTCATGAACTTGCATCTAAAAAAATAACTCCGAAATGCTCATATTTCCATTAATAATTTATTATTAATATAAGTGTCTTACTATTAATTTTTACTAATTTCGCAATCATATTGCAAATTTTGGTAAAACCCAGTAGGTAAATATAATTTGATTTTTTTTTCATTACAATTTAACTATTTAATAGTGCCACAGGTCGGTAAAACCAGAACGTGGTAGAATTTAAATATCATTCATTGAGGCAAATTGCTAGGACCTTCCGCACCGAAAATTAAACTTTTCAAAAAAAACTTTGAATTATCCTGAAAATTTAGAAGAAATTAGGTTTTTGAGAATTTTGAAATTAAAAAAAACAAGATTTTGAAAGACATAATTATTTCTTAGAATATCAAGTGATATCAAATGACATTTATTTACTATGCTCAATAAGTATTTGTTTACTTCTTACGGTCGAGTGAAAATGTATCATACTGCTTGATATCAAGCAGGCCGACGTTGATATTGAATCAGGTACTAGTGATTGGAAGTGCCCACGGGTGTCACATATATATAAAAGATTTTCTTAAATAAACTTAAAAAAGTTACTGTTATAAATAGTGTATTAAGCGGAAAATAAAAAAATAAAACATAATGGATGTATAGAAGACTGAAATTCCTGTCCAAGTGTAACCTAGCACGTTTCTCCAATACTATAATTTTAATGAGATTTTCGTAAACAAACTAAAAATCAAATGTAATAATACACAAATACTTTCCACATAAGTTTTAAGTAGATTAAAAAAGGAAAAATATATGGATTAAATATGTATACAAGAAGTATATATGATAGACCTTTATCGTCAGTTTATGTATAATCAATACAATCAATTATCAAAAATATAAATGTATTAATATTAATTAATCTATTTAGGATAATGTTTACCTCTGTGATGGGAACGTTGCCGCGCATCCATTGCATGGTCGGAGCAGGAGAACCAACCGCTTCGCACTCAAGAACCAGGCTGGTGCCCAACGCCTGCGTTACCGCTGCAGGCGGCGCCTGGCTGATCTTTACCCAGTCGCGGTTTTCGAAATATTTCCTGCCTCCTGTAAAGGTTAGTAATAATAATTATTTAATGATAAAAATATTTACAACTAGCATTAAAAGATTATCATTGGATTAAAGACGATCGATAATGCTCCCGATTTAAATTATATTGATTAATCAAATTTTAGAATTGGTTCTTCTTAACGTTTGCGCTTTTTGACAACTATAATTTGTAACAAATGGCATTGTACTCTATGTTTACCTTAGTCTACATTTTTAGGCATACATAGCAAAATTGATGATACAGCACACATTTTTTTAATTTGATGATTATGTACTCAGTTGCTAAGTAATCATGCTTGTACCATATGACATTACTTTTATTAGCAGTTTGTATTGATGCTAACAGTTTTTATAACAGATTAGGTCACCTTATTATGCTATATTAATTAGGTGTGATTCAAGTAATCGATTTTATCTCTGCATATGTTGAATAAGTTTCTCTGATAAAACTTTACTTGGGTGTACTGGTTCTGGTTTGTTCTATTTTTCAAAGTGTTCCACAAATTTGATTTGAACAGTATTAAAAGAAAATATAATAGGCTTTCGAATAACGCTAATAAAAAACTAATTAAATAAAACGCACTATCCGAAAACATTAATTAAAAAATTATTTTATCCTTTTTAGCTCATAATAAAGGATTATTTAGCATATATTAATATACATTATGTGGTCTAAGCCAATATGAGTAGAATCACGTAATTTTTTTTTTTCAATATCTTTTATGGTTACGCCAAAAATTGAGTTTGAAAAAGGGGCCACTTTGGCATATTTTCAATGATATCTCGGCCCTAAGGTGAGATACAAAGTCGAAGTTTGGTATTTCGGATGTTTTCAAAAAGACCTTCAAAATGGCGTATAAATTATTCAAATACAAGGGTGTTAGTCGATTATGTATGGCAATGCGCTCACACACTTGCGCGTCGTGATTATTATGTACTCGACTGGCAGACCCTTGCAATCGTCAGAATGGGCTGGCTTTTTACATATGCTTTCTGAACAGTTAAAAGAATACCCCCTCGAAATTTGAGCCTTGTGGGAGTAAGTTATGAAAAACATTTTTTTGACATTTTCACAAATTGTAGGTTGATGACGCAATCGCGGAATGACTGCCAGAATGGTACTTTCTTAATGGGTCGATAGTAAAATATCATTTAAAAAAATCTAGCTCTGTGAAAACAGGTTAGTCAAATAGTTCACTGGCTCTTAGGCTATATATTGTATATTACACATATAATGCATTAGCCTGCAGTGAATTCTCCAAATAGGAATAATTCCTAATTTTGTCAATTAATTACGGCAGAAATGGTTTTAAAATTATTGTTGACTTCTGATCTAATTTTAGCATAAGACATTTTTCTTTTGTTTTCATTAGCATAAGACATTTTTCTTTTCTTTTCAAAGAAACTTTAGGGGGCGCCCGGTAATCACGGGAAGTATTTAGAGGGTTTGACAAAAAATCACAAAATATCACGTGAAGGAGGGAGGGGTATAATAAAAAATCACGTGTATTTATTTTTAACCTGATATTTTTTTTTTAATCCTAACATTTTCAAAAAAAAATCAACAATTTTACAATTTTTCATTGTAAGTAAAAATATACGTAATGTTTGGCGGCGGAGGGGGGAGTGTTAATTTTGAATATCACCACGTATCACCAAAAATCTATCAAAGAAATCGATCATATTATTAATAGACCGCCTCTTATCAGAATAAAACAAATCGATGCAGTATAAAAAATTGTAAATTACAATTGAAATAATTATATAGAATAGCTCCGCCTGGAGTTTTACAATTACATCATGTTTTGCTGAATGATCCTGAAAAAAAAACGGTATCTGTACAGTAACTTTCTTTATATAGTTCCACGTGCCAGTGGCAAAGTTCATCTTTGTCACTGTTCTAACGACAAAAATAAATTTCCGCAATTGGAGTAAAAAGAAACCTTATCGTCGAGATGTAAATTGTCAATTACAATGTCTAACAAATAGAATCATTGCTGAAGAATAATGTTACGCAATAGAAATCTATATCGGCTGATATCGAAAGCACGTGCCCTAATTAATATTCTGAGAAAGCCTTAAAAAATCGTAACACCAATGTTCACTGACCAGGCCAAGGTTTTCCAAACATCGTAGTTCCTCAAATTCGAATGTAATTAATTGTCTCCATAACTTTTGATTGAGGTTTGTGTATTATAGCAATAATGTCACTTTGAAACTAGTGGTGAATGGCAATCGTGCCTTATGGCAAATTGCAGAAACTTTTCATACATTAATTTAGAATTTTTTAAAAAAGCTTAAAATGAAAAAAATAGATTTGAATTTTTTCGAATATTTGAAATTGTGAAAACATTTGAGAAAATTGTGAAAACATTTGGAAAAATTTTGAAAACATTTGGGAAAATTTTGAAAACGTTTGGGAAAAGTTTGAAAACATTTGACAGAATTTTGAAAAAAATTGAAAAAATTCGAAAATTTGAATAATTTTTGAAAAAATTAAAAAAATATTGACTGATATTGATTTTTGAAAATTATAATTTTTTTTTAAACATTTTGAAATTTCTTTAAAGTTTATGGTACCCATCCAAATCAGTTGATACATACTGCCAAAAATGTCAAGGAACTTTAAACATTGTTAATCTTTATACGGAGCCCATGGGAATGGAAATAAAATTGGTACTTATTAATAAATAAAATCTCCATAAAATATTTAATAAAATTATGTTCGTATTTCTAATGACAATTTTTTACTGTCAAATTGCATTTCTTATTACTTTTTTTCTGCATGTCCGAAACCGCTGGATCTATCTTCGCAAAAATTTAATCGATCAATATTCGCTACTTCAATAGAAGTGAAATATTTTTTGAATCATTCAAATCGGATGCTCCGTTCTGTGACAAAAACTTCATTGACATTTTCTGCACACTTTGCATCATATCTCCGAAACAGCTGGACCAACTTTTACAAAAACTAATCAGCAGGTCTCCTTATTATTAAGAAGACATGCAAAAACATGTCATTTCACAATTTGTGAAAATACAAAAAAAATTAAGAACAGGCACAATACTTTTGCCCGACATTGCTACACCAATAAAAGTCATCCCTATTAGGTTAAATTCTAATAATAAAATCACCAAATATAGATGGTTACTGGGTTACTATCTAAAAATTCTAAGTAAGGAGAAGTTTCATCCTAACAGCTCATATGACGTAAGGTTCTGATTGCTTTTAAAGAAGATATTAAGAATAGAATTATGAAACAAGACTATTACAATCTGGAGGATTACAGATAATAAATAAACATAAATGTTGAACGCAAAATCCGTTATCAAAATGAATCGAAATTTCAGTATTAGTCTCAAAAGTGAGCATCTATAACATCGTATTTTTAAATACAATTTTTAGTAAACGTGTAATTCTATATTTCATGTTTGATTTTAAAAAAGGTTCACAAAGGTAAAAAGTGAATTATTTCATCAAGGGGGCATTAATCACGTAAGCCTTAAAGAGGGAAAGGAGGTTTGCCAAAGAATCACGAAATATCACGTAGGAGAGGGGCGTCTAGTAAGATTCACATGTATTTTTTACCTCAATTTAAAAAAAATCTGATTTTTTAAAAAAAAACTCAGAAATTTTACATTTTTTTCGAGGTACTAAAATTGTGTTTGATAGGGGCAAGGTGATTTTAACTATCATCATGCATTAATCACCAAGGGGGAGGGGGAGGTCTAAAAATTCTTAGAAATTGCCCACATGATTAATGGACGTCCCCCAATTAAAAATTAAATCAATGAAAATAAAATGAGGCTTTAAGTTTATATTTCAATTCCAGTTTATTTCTATTTCTTAATAGTTTGAGATCCTCTGGACCGGACTTTTGGTACAGAGATTTAGAAATTCGAATATTCAAACGATTCAAAGAAACCCGATTTATTCGCCCCAGCTGTGTGAATTCTGTTTAAATGATCGATGTGCGAATTCATCACTAGTGTTCGCATTTTTCTTATGATAATTGGATTGCCTGTGTAATAGTAACGCATATATGGCGATCGAACCATTCTTCAAATTCTTAGAATAAAAAACACAATAGGTTAACGTTTTCTATTTAATTTTCATTATTGCATAACTGTTGTAGATTCTGTGAATTTTTTGCAAAGGTTGTAAATAGGTGGCTATTATTTGTTACTATGTGGATTCAATTATATATCAATGTCTATTAATATGTATCAATTTTTTATATATATTTATTAACAGCAATCAAAAATTACAAATTTCTATAAACTTTTGAGCAAAATTATACAAATAAACATACTATGTTTATTACTCATGATATGGAATCTTTATATTCTTATTTTTTTGAGACATAGTTTCATTTTGCCTTAAAAATTCATTGAAGTTTTGCAAAATATCAACTTTCTTTAAAAAAAAGAACAAAAACTTGTCTTGAGTGCGCGACATATGTTTTCCAATGTAGTTTTCACCGCTGAACACGAATCTAAAGACAAAATTGGGGGTCAAACTGCGATAAATGGAGCAAAATAAAAAACTACAAAATGTTCGATCTAGTAATTCTTTTGCATAAAATCTTATAATTTTTGTCGTTTTTTGGCCCTTTTTTAACGACTATTGAGTTTTATTTGTCAATTATTTTTTTATATTAAAGTTGAATAGGTAATCCATATTTCCCAAGCATCCATGATATTCCGTGATTTTTGTAAGTAATTTTCAGTTTTCCATTAAGTATTCAACAAATCTCGTCTTGCTAAAAATCATTATTTAATCTTTAACCTTGGAATTTTTCATGACCCAGTTGTATTATCAATTCGAACAATTCTGACGCAAAGAAACAATTTTTTCGACTTCAAAATGCAAAAAATTTACATAAATGTTTAGAGATTATCTTAAATTTTCTCGAGAATGGCTGAATCATGTATTATCAGCACTTTCAAATTTTTCGAAATGTTTAGGCTATGAAGCTGTTATCGTATCCGTGTA